ATAACTTTACATGGTGTACTAATCATTTTCCTAATAATAACCTTGCAGGTAAGGATAAAATTGTCATCCCAAATGACAAGATGTGAAATTAAAGTCGTCAAAGTATAATATCAAATATAAGGAAAGTTATTTATAAGATTTTGATTTAAAAAAATTCATGAGAGAAAGTCCATTTTTATTGAAGAAAAAAATTACCATAAAAAAGTTATTCACTTTGGGGCTTTGGCACCCTTCTAAAATGGTTTTGATATTTTTTAAAAATGAAATTCAAACAATAAATCATATAATGTTTATATTATTATATAACCTATTAAATAAGTAAATATATATAATATCATGCAACCTACACAAATTAATATATGTAATCAATAACAATTATCCCACATCATGTTGTTAGATTGTATTTGTCAAAAAATATTGTCAATAGATTATTTTTGTTTCTAAATTTATTTTCAAGTCATTTAAAACCCTTTAGGTTTCTAAAATAACTTTTAAGCTTGAAATCGAGTAAATTGATTATTATCCTTAAATTTGCAGCTAAACACAATGAGATCAAAGTAATTATCATATAACGACAATGGATGAGTTCTGCTAGCTCTGTGATTTTGATTGATGTTTTTTATTTTATAAGTAAACCAATTAAGTAATTTAAAGTATAATAATAAGTATGTGTAAAATAGTTATATTTCAATTACATCTTCTTCATTTTTATGTTTAAGTCTTAGGTTATGTTTGATTTAAGAGAAATAAAAGAAATGAATTTTTTTACTAATCAAATTACAATATAAATAAAAGTTACAATTTGATTAATAAAAAAGTTCATTTATCTCCTCCCCTACTCTTTATTTCTATTATACCAAACATACTTTTAATCCACCTCTACTTTTGGACGTGGTCCTAACAAATTAGTTTAAAAAACTGGAAGGAAATAACTGAATTATAAGTAATTTTAGGGGCTTGATAGCCAAAAGTGATCAAGTTTAGGGGTTGATTTCTTCTTCTTGTCCTAAAAGCTGAAAAGAGATAAAACTGTCTTCCACTATTAGTATTTTGATATTACAATTCAAGTGATTAACTAATGGAGGAATAGGGGGTGGTGACTGGTGAGGAAAAATAAAAAGGTTCTTCCAACCCTTGCTAACACAAATGATGAAGACTTTTTAAATCAAGAGCCTATTTGATTTGAAGAGGGGTGGAAAAGAAGGTTGCTTCATTTAGATAAGAAAAAGGTTGGAGGGAGGGAAGAAGCAGCGTCATAGATAATATCTTAATTTGGTTAATTTTAACCTATCTAGATCAATTTTTTGTCAAACCAAACAGGGGCTAAGGCCTTGCCTCTTTTTACTATTGCTATTATTATTATTATACAATCTCATAAAAATATATTTATATATATTATCATATAATATTTAACTAATTAATCAATACTACTTTAATTGTAAGGATGAAAGGGGATTTAAAAAAACAGAAGGTTATTTTTTTATATAATCAAGTTTTTTTTAAAATTAATTAATTAAGATTAAATAATGATAAAAAAGATCAAAATTTGAGACAATAATGTGATATAAATTACCATTATTTAAAATATTAAAAAAAATTATATTATTTAATAATTGACTTTTTTTTATAACCCATAATATTATTTATATTAAGAAATTTAGTAATATAACTTATAACATATCATTAATTTTAAATTTTTATTTTTCACATCAATATTCATCGAGATTATGATAAAAAATGAAATAATTTGAAAATTCTACAATTTTATTGTAAAAAAAAAAAAAGGAACAAAATACAAGAATGATTTTTCAAGGTCTTTTGTTTTGAAAGCTCCCTTAGATGTCAATGAAAAAGAGCATTGACATGAATAGAAAAGAAAAAGAAAGGAAAAACGCGTCCAACGACGTAGCACGTAGCATGCAAACCGGAGCGAAATAGAAGCTTTTCCTCTCTCCTCCTTATTTCTCTCTCTACATCTTTCTGTTTCTCTCTCTAAATCTACCCTCTCTTAATTATTTTCTAAGAAACCATTAATACAAAAAGACAAACAACATAACCCCTTTCTGCCCTCTCTCTCTCTCTCTCCTCTCTTTTCTTCCATTTTCTCTTGACTTGATGAGAGAGGAGAGAAACTCTCAAAAACACTAATTGCCAATACAATCCAAAATCTCATAAAAACTCTCTTACGTAACACAAAGCACAACCCTTTAATTTGGTACTATATAATCCAATCCCACCTTGAACCATCTCCTTTATCCCCCAAATTTTGATCGTTAATTTCCATAAAATTTTCAGGGGAAAAGTTTGTGGTTGGTGTGGTGGTCGTGGTGGAGAGAGATCGGGAAACTAGGCATGAAAAGCAACGGTGAGGTTACGGCAGCTGAGCTGGGGCTGAAGAAGGGGCCGTGGACGGCTTCTGAGGATGCCATCCTGATGGACTACGTGAGGAGGCACGGGGAAGGGAATTGGAACGCTGTGCAGAAGAATTCTGGGCTGATGAGGTGCGGGAAGAGCTGCAGGTTGAGGTGGGCTAACCATCTCCGCCCTAATCTCAAGAAAGGCTCCTTCTCCCCCGAGGAAGAGAGACTCATCATCGAGCTTCACGCTAAGCTCGGCAACAAATGGGCTCGCATGGCGGCTCAGGTCTACTCAATTTGCATCTTTACTTCTCTGTAATTCATATTTTTTATACTTTGACCTGGGCGTTATGGGTTATCACCTCACAAAATTTGCACCCATTCGTCTTTTTTCTAGCAGTGGATGAAAGAGACACTTAATAAAAATTCTAAATTGGTAACGTTTTTTTTTTCTTTTCTTTTCTTCTCTGAATTGCCTTTTAATACAACCATGTCCTCTTCCTCTTTTGCAGTTACCAGGTAGAACTGATAATGAGATCAAGAATTACTGGAACACTAGGATGAAGAGACGCCAGAGAGCCGGGCTACCCATTTATCCACAGGAAGTCCGGGGGGAAGCCGCCGCCTTCAACCTCCAACAATGCCA